CAACAAGTTAAAGCAGAACATTAGAGACTTGCAGGAATGTTGCAACCACTCCCTATTCCTGAATAGAAATGGGAGCACATTACTATGGACTTCGTGGTCGGGTTACCGCAATTAGTCTTGAAGAATGATGCAATATGGGTTATCGTAGATCGATTAACGAAGTCAGTGCATTTTCTACCAATCAGAATCACATATTCCCTTACTAAGTTCGTCACTCTATACATTAAGGAAATCATTCGGTTACACGGCACCTCAATTTCAATCGTATCTGATAGAGACCCCTGCTTCGTGTCTCACTTCTGGAGCAAATTACAAGAAACATTGGGAACCACTTTGAAGTTTAGCACAGCTTATCATCCACAAACTGATGGGCAATCTAAAAGAACAATTCAGACCTTGGAAGATATGTTACGTGCGTGTGTGCTAGACCTCAAAGGTAATTTGGACGATCACCTGCCTTTGGTGGAGTTTGCCTATAATAATAGCCATCATGCAAACATTGGTATGGCACCATACAAGGCACTATATGGAAGAAGATGTCGATCACTTCTGTGTTGGACGGAAATCGGAGACAAGAAACTGCTAGGACTCGAAATTGTGCAAATTACAAGTAAAAAAATTCAACTCATCCAACAACGAATTTGCACTACCCAAAGCTGCCAGAAAAGCTATGCAGATACACGGAGATGAGACTTAGAATTTCAAATAGGCAATCATGTGTTCCTAAAGATCTCACCAACAAGAGGGGTTATCCGATTTGGAAAACGAGGAAAGTTAAACCCACGTTACATCAAGTCATTCGAGATACTAGAAAGTATTGGTCCTGTGGCATATCGCCTTTCGTTTTCACCCGAACTGTCCAATGTCCACAATGTGTTTTTACGTTTCGATGCTTCGACGGTATCTTCAAGATCTAGAGCATATTGTTGACTATGAGAACCTGGAGGTTCAAGAAGACCTCTCTTATGAAGAACAACTTGTGCAGATTCTCGATTGTCGTGATCAGGTCCTTTGAAACAAAATTATACCTCTTGTAAAAATATTATGGAGAAATCATCATGTCAAAGAAGCAACGTGGGAAACAGAGAATCAAATGCGAGCCAAATACCCATACCTCTTCAAAAAACAAGGTACGTTAAGTTTGAGGACAAACTTCTATTTAGGATGGGAGAAATGTGACACCCTAATTGTTTAACTAAATACCATGTACAATTAGAATTAAATCAAAGTTTAACAAAATAAAAATAAATAAAAAATTTGGTGCGAAGTTTTGTCACCACCCTAGCATATAGGGTGGTGAATATGGCCTTATAGGTTGGTCTAATCATCAAAGTAGGGACACAGAGGAATAGGCAGTGAAAACACCTGTGGGACATGTGGCTTAAAACTACCACACGGCAAAAAAATTAGTGAGGCCTCACCAACTGTAAATAGGTTGCAGCATAAAGAACGAAAATATAAGCTAAGGCGTTAAAATTAATAGTAGGGAATGAAAGTTGGTAAACAAAGAAAGGGAAACGAAAAACGGAGAGTGAGTCAAGGCTAATTTAGAAGTAATCTTAAGGTGAGTTATATTATATCTTGAGTCATCATAATATATTTTACGTATGTTTTGAGTTATCATAATTTATTTTACGCAATTTATGTTTTATAAATTATATTAATATTTCAATTACATGGATGATTTTCTGAACTCTATTTGTTTAAAATGAAACCTATGGATATGTTTGTATAATTTTTTTAATTATTTGACAATAATTTTATAAACAATAATTTTCTATAAGTACCACCACGGGAGTCTCATGCCTTGGAGGACTTAAATAATCGTTGGCCCCTATTTGGCCACTTTGTGGTCCTTTGTTTGTCATGAATCCATTGAACCCTGTTTTGATTGTCACTTCAGTGACCCCTGTTCTGTTATGTTTTGTACCATGGTTATGATTATTTGCTTATATGATTTTCGTATTCTACTTCTGTTAGTTAAAATTAGTTATGTATTTCAGTTACCAAACTAATTTTTGTTTAGTCTAATAATTATCCATGGGTTTTGTTTGGACCCTCGTGCTCGCTGTATAATATTTCTCACTCTGCCATGTGCTTATAGTTGTTATCTCTTTCAGGTGATGAGATTTAGCGGGATTGGGATTGGAAATGAACCGCGGTGTTTTTTTTTCCTTATCTGTATTTATGGTCGGACTCTTGTAATAAAATGAAGCCCATATGACTATTTTCTTTTCACTAAAATTTTTGGTACCCATTTATTTTATTTTAATTTATCTGCTTGCGCTACTACTACTACTACAAAAATTTTAGAATTATTTTATTTTTATTATCTTGTTGCGACGTCGAACCTTTGGGTATTGGGTTTGGGTCGTGACACTAAAACCACTATACTTTTTAAAAAACCACCCTACTTTTTCTATCTACTTTTACTACCTATTCATCCAATGACTAGCATTCATCCTATCTAAATCTAATGATTCACATTTTTTTATATACCATACATGAAATGAAAACCACTTTCATGTATGGTAGATTTTTTCCAAGGATTTGGGTCTCTTCGGTTGTCGATGTACATGGTCGGCCTTCCTCGTCGAAAAACTCTCACGCCACCATTGTTGCCGAAGCCTCTAAAATCAATAAGGTTTTCACCACCGCCGCTCGAGAGAGAAGGTGGCTCACGGCGGTGATGCTAGTGACGGTGGGAGAGAAGATACTAGAGGGCACTGGCTATAGGGGTCACAGTGGTGGGTGGTTAAGGTGGAGGGGGTCGAGTCAGTGTTCTCTCTCTTCTCTGTTCCTTCGTTTTTCTTCTTCTTTGTTCGTTCTTCTCTCTCTGCTTCCTTCAGGTTTTGATTTCCTTTTTCTTTTCTTTTTTAAACTTTGTCTCCAAAACGACGTCGTTTTGGAGGCACTACAGGGAGCACTGTAGAGAAACACCGCAGAGGATCTGGACTCCCAAAAGGAACTATAACCCTAAAATAGCTTAGGGTAAATTACATCAACACCCCTGAGATTTATGTTTAATATAGATTTCCTCTATGATTGAGCAAGGAAACTATAAAACCCACAAATCAAGCCAGTTTAGTTCAATTTGGTAGGTTTTGTTTGGTTTTTTGAATCTATTGTTTGGTTTTGGTTTGGAAAATTGAGAAACTAGTCTCCGTGAATCGATTCCGAATTATAGTTCACTGTTCCGAATTAGAAAGTTGGACCGTATATAATTTAAACCATATACATACTAGGGTGTATGCATACAATCCTACTCTCTTTTATATAAAACCAACTTTACAACAACAGTACTGTTATTGTTGCTATTCTCATTTTTTTTTTTTTTAATTTTAATTTTGTAATTGTTGTTGCTACATACAAAATGTTTGTTTGATGAAAGTTTTATACTTGCTACATATTAAACAATATGTTTATTTACTAGATATTATATTTATTTAAGTTAATGGTAGAATAATATGCATGTTTATGTTTCGAAAAATCATGTGGGCAGATTAATGTTGAAATAAAAATGTTACATAATTTTTCTTTGTGAACAGATTATATGAAACTGTGATACCAAACCTAGCCAAATCCTGTTAAAATGGATTGGTTTGGATTGGTTCCATAATTTAAATGGATTAGTTTGGTTTCAATTTTTATAGAATTGTAGAAAATGGACTTGTCCTAGTTTTATCTCAAACCGAACTAATCCGAACCATGCTCACCCCTAATTCCCTTACATTTGTAAAGCACTTTTCCTTTAACCCAAAAGTTAGACTCAATTATATGGCAGTCTATTACAATATCTCTCTCTCTCTTTTATATATTTTTTAATTATCAATCAATTATTATTTTTACACATCATTAAGTCTAAAAAATTAGTATAGAAAAAGTGAATTTATATATCATTTTTATTAACTATAAGATAAATTACATTTTATACTATTGATTTTCTGTATTGAAGTGTCACTCAATGTCATTTTACCACCATTAACCTTCTATATTCGTCAATAAATTAATCAAAAATGTGGAAATTACCATGTAGTCCTATGTAGGGGATCTATTTCCCTTCTAATCCCAATTTATATTTAATAGATCAATAGGTCCACAGTTTTTTAAGTTTTATACCCAGAGGTCCCGTTTTTTATTTTCGTATTTTTAAATAACTGTATTACCCTTTGTTTTGAGATCTATATATACGTGAAAAATCAAATTTTTGCTCCGTTTAAAAAAAGGAAATCAAATCTTCGTCTTCGCGATCTCGATTTCTCTTCGTTGTGGCGATCTCATTGTGCTGTGTGGTCGATCTCATTGTGCTGTGAGGTGGATCTGGTTGTGCGATTTGAATTTCTGTATACAGGCGATATCTGCGTACGTTGTCTCTCTCTCTTTCTCTCTGGTGATAGATATATGTATGTGTATGTATGTATCTGTCGATACATAGATATACATATATATGTATATATATATATGTCTGTGTGTGTATGTGGTTTGTATTTGTCGATATATATGTATGTATATATAGATAAGCAAATTTGCGTCATATGTGGTTTGTGTTTGGCGAATTTTGCTTGTTTGATTTTGATTTTGTTGATTTTGTTTGTCGTATAGTGTAATGTGTTTTGAAGTTGTATTTTGGAATTGTGAATTCTGGTGTTTTGATACTGATATGTTGTAAGTGTATAATTTTGCAATTTGGAATTGTAAATTATGCACTGTTGGTATTGATATGTTGTAACTGTATAATTTTGCAGTTTGGAATCTGTGAACAATTGTTTGTTGGTTTGTGATTTTGTAGTATGGAGCGGTGTTTCATGTTAATGTGCAAATACAGTAATTGTTATGCTGCTATTAAGATTAGTGAGGGATGTAGTTATGATGAAGTTGTTGAGAAAATATGTGCGAAGTTCAAGGAGTTGAGTGTTGGTAACTTTTGTTTGTTTTTCTCTGTTCCTGGATATTCTAATTGTATTGTTGAATGTGATGATGATTTGGGGAATATGCTGTCAATGGTAGGTGGTAGTGGTTGTCATGTTGTTGATGTTATTGTGGGGGATAAGAGAGTTATGGAGGTTAATGATGGTAATTCTTGTAGGATTGATTCTGTAACTTGTGAGAGTTCTTTTGTGAATGATTGTGATGATGTTGGTGGTTTGTTATGTAGTTTTTATCCAGAACCAGAGAGAGTTTTGTTGTCTGCTAGTTGGAAGGGGATTATACACAGTGTTGGTCAAGAATTTGAAGGTGGAGTACCGGGGTTCCGCATTGCATTGGCTAAGTATGCAGTTGAGTGTGGTTTTGCAGTGAATTATTTGAAGAACGATGCAACAAGAGTAACCGCTGAATGTATGATGAAGTCGTCTACGGGTTATAAATGGTTTATGCATGGAAGGGTGTTGATGGATTCTGGTGTTTTTTTTATAATGAAGTTAGATAATGTGCATACTTGTGGGGTTGTTGCTCGTAGATCTTGTAGCAAAATGGTTGGTTCTAGACTTGTGTGTGATATTGTGCAAAATGATATTAGTGATAATCCATTGACTCGTCCTATTGAAGTTAAAAAAAAGTTGAAGAAGCAATATGGTATAGATGTTTCTTATCGGGTTGCATGGTTAGGAGTTGATAAGGCAAGAGGTGGGTTGTTTGGTGATTTTGCAACTTCTTTTGACCAACTTCGATGGTACCTTGAGACGGCTATGAGAACGAATCCGGGAAGTGTGTTTGAATTAGATGTGGATGAAAGTAGTGGGTGTTTTCGGAGGTTGTTTGTGGCATTTCATGGATGTTTGTATGGCTTTCAATTTTGTCGTCTGTTGTTGTTTGTTGATGGTACATTTTTGAAGGGGCGTTACAAGGGGCATTTGCTTGCAGCAACATCAAAAGATGGTAATCAAGGTATGTATTTATTTGCAGTTAGTATTGGTTTAGTTTGTCAGTGTGTTATTGTATTGTGAGTCTGCTAATTTTTGCAGTTTCATGTGGTTTTGTTTGCAGGTTTGTTTCCTTTGGCTTTTGCGATTGTTGACGCTGAAAATCAAGATAATTGGATGTGGTTCTTAAGTCAGTTGTTGAAGGCTGTTGGTTCAGGCCGGAGATTGACTTTTGTGTCGGACCGTCAACATGGATTGCTAGACGCTCTTTCAGTGGTTTTCCCCAATGCACATCATGCTTATTGCTTGAATCATTTGAAGAGAAATTTGATTGACAAATTGGTGGGACTTCGTACTAACTATAAGCTGTGTTTGATGAAAATATTAGTTAAATGTGCTTATGCGCCAACGGTTGCTTCTTTCCAACATTATATGGAGAAATTGAGGCGTATTGCTGGGAATGGTAGAGTTGATAGTATGTTGGATGGTTTGCAAAATGATAAGTGGGCCAATGCATTTTTTAGAGGGAAACGATATGGTGAGATGTCATCTAATGCTGCCGAGTCTTACAATAATTGGATTTGTGGGGCCCGTGAGTTGCCTATTACTTGTATGGTTGATATGATTAGGGTTCAAATCATGACTCAATTGTCGGATAGAAGAGCTGAATGTAGAAGATGGACTACGAAATTGTGTCCAGTTATGGAAAAGAAGTTGGTGGACTCTTTGGAGCTAGCTAAGTCTTGGGATGTGATTGTTGCTAGTGATACTGTGCTTGAGGTTCATTCTTCTATTTCTTTTTATGTTGATGTTGATATTGGTAGACAGACTTGTTCTTGCCATGAATGGCAATTGAATGGTTTTCCTTGTTGTCATGCTTTGCGTAGTAGTGGTAGAGATGTGTATGGTTTCATTGATCCTTTTTTTCATGTAGATTGTTTTAAAGAGTCATACAAGGAATCTGTTTATCCAGTGCCTTCAAGTGAGAGATTTGACTTTGATGGTGCCAGTAGTTCGGTTATCAAACCTCCTATAACGAAGAAGCAGCCTGGACGGAACAAGAAGAAAAGGATACCTTCTAGGGGTGAGAATGTGAAGCAAATCAAGTGTGGGAGGTGCTTGAAATATGGGAATCACAATAAGAAGACGTGCAAGGCTGCTATTTGAGGCCACAATCTATTCTTTTGGATTTGTATTTGAATTTGAGGAATTATGATAATAAAAAATGTGATACTTGGTATTATGGAAGTAATGAATAAAGTTGGTTGAATTGTTTTTTGTTTGTTGATGTGTTCTTTACTTATTGAAGTTGTTTTGTAACAGTCTGATTTTGTTTTTTATTTTTATGGAATGCAGAGAAGGTTGTTGAAAATTTCTTATTGAAACAGCATAATATGGAAATGCAATTCATATTTCATAGCCAGAAAACTGTATAATTTTGCAGTTTTAAGAATTATTAGAAACAACCTGATGAAACCGCATAATTTTGCAGTTTTAAAAATTATTAGAAACAAGCTAATGAAACTGCAAAATTTTGCAGTTTGAAGAATTATTAGAAACAACCTTTACTGTATGAAAATATATGCAACCACAAACAAGTAGACAAACAATCAGAAGAAGAACCACAATAATAATAACAAGAAGAAGAGCAACAACTACATCAATCATTTTCACCATAACCATGATAACCAGAAAAAGATCATTCCCAAAAGTATATAAAGTACTTGTCACATGTTAAAAAAGAAAAATAAAAAAAATAAAAAAAAGGTTCAAAGATATGTTCCCTTGAATATTTGTATTGTTAAGAAGTTTGTTCATTGTTTCTATGGTTTGGTATGTTTTGTCAACATTTGGTAGTGCTCGAGTTTCCAAGATCGGTTCTCATCATTGAGGAATTGATTGATGATTTGTGCTCGAAATTTGACCTACTCAGTTGGACGAAGTTTTTTCTGCACAGGTTGCCAGTTGACATATTGGTTAATAACATTGCAGACAGCGATTGCACTATCATTCTTGCAGTGTTTGAGATGAAGTTAATTAGTTAGGTGAAACTGCAAAAATTAGCATATTGGAAGATTAGTTTATGGATTTTGTATCTTACGAGTGTGGGGTTTGTTGTGGGCATTCCTCAATTGATGCAATTTCTGTCTCGCACTCTTGAGATGAAAACATGTTTCCCTGTTTGCTGAGTAATGCTTTATTCCATCTCAGTTGATGTTGTTGCTACAAAATAGTTAGTGGGTGTTTTTGTTAGTTATAGTGATGAGTTGAGATGTTTGTAAAGGAATGGAACTAAGTATGAAATTTTATTTTAACTTACAATTTGCTTTGCAATTTCAAAGTGCTTGTTGTGGCAATCTTTTGCTGGTCTCAAAGAGTGATAGTGTCTCCATATTCCATCAGCATTGTCAAAGACCACAATTGTCCAATGGTTGTCGTGGTTGATTGGGAAATGGATATATCTGTTTTTCATTGCTTCTGGAAAATGGCTGTCCATCAGTTTTTCTCTCAGTGCTTGATCTTGGTTTTGTAGTGGAGTCTGTAAGTTATATATATGTTTGAAATATGTTATAAAACTGTGTAGTAATACATGTTGAGAAAGTAGAAAATTTTGCAGTTGTAAGGTATGTTAAGTTTTGCTTACATTGATGAGTGTTAAGAAAATGTAAGACCTTCCTGCATATGGATTGCTTGCAAAGACTAGATCGTTTTTCTCAAATTCTTCAATGGTTGGTTGGAGTGCCAATTGCTTTTCTGAGAAGGCATCAATGACCTGAAACATGTTATATATGAGAATGTGTTAGGTTTGCGGAATAGGTTATTGAATATGTACAAAAACTGTAAAATTGTACGGTTGGAGACCTACATTCCCATATAAGGGTTCCCTGTTGGTCAATCTGCATATATCTGAAAAGTATACACAGTTTTCATCTTCGCTGCCAGACCAGACACAAGCACTTGATTGTGTGTTGTTGATGAGTTGAATTTGGTCTTGGTCTTTTTTGGATAGGCTATGCCAAACCTTGTTTGTTTTGCGGCATGAAATGACGAATGGCTTGTTGTGGCTTGATTCTTCTTCGAAATCATCATCACTTTACAATACTTGAACTTGTGTCTTCCCTTGATTGGCATCCTCTTTTGGCTTGGTTTCTATAGCGATCCCGGTTTTCCCTTCCTTTGTTTATTGTATTCCGGACTTGGTTCCGTGGTTATGTTGTTGTCTTATTCCCATTTTCATCATTTACTCTTTGTATTTGAGTCTTGAGGTATGTTGGGCGGGTTTGAAACAGGTTGGTTGTGTTTAGAAACCTAGAGTTGATGCCCAGATTTTTGCCCTCACACTTGAGCGGGCCCTTCGTCTTTGTTTCTCCACTCGAGTGGGCGTTTTGACGCTCGAGCGTGATTTTTCATCTCTCGGCATTTTTGCTCTGCAAGTCGTCGTACGCTCGAGCGGGAGTTTTGATGCTCGAGCGGGCCCTTTGATTTTGTTCCTCGGCTCGAGCGGAGAGTCTAACGCTCAAGCGGGAACCATGGTTTGTAAAACTTCTGGAAGTGTGCATCCGGCGCTCTAGCGGCGCTTTTGACGCTCGAGAGTGAGTCTGTGTCTGACGCTCGAGCGGGAAGTTCCACGCTCGAGCGGGGCGACGTGTATATTAGTCCGAAGTTTGACTTTGTGGATCACTTTTTCAACTCCTTTTCTCTCTCTTACTTTTCAAAACCTCCATTGGAGAGCACCTCACTCTAAAACTCCAACTTCTCTTTAGGGTTTAATCTAGTAGGAGTGTTCTTCTACCCTTGGGCCTTTGTAAAAAGTGTTGATCTCGTTGTGGGCTACATTTTGATCCGGAAATCTTGGGATTTGGAGCATTTCGAAATTCTTCATCTTCTCCCTTTGAGCTCCGAATTTGAAGTAGGGATAACTCCTCATTTTTATGAGCTTCAACCTAAATGTTAAGCTTTTTGTATAAATGGTTTGATTTGGGAAGTTAGGGTTTGAGATGTGTTATATTGGAAAGAGGAGTTTTGTTCTTTTGATTCAAACATATGTGTTTTGGGTCTAAGAAGGAGGTTATTGATGTTGTTAATAATATTTAGACCTTTGGGTCAATGTTGAGGAAAGGGGAAAAATGCCATGTTTGGGTATATTTGGGTCATTAGTGTAATTAATGACATTTATTCGGAATATGAAATTGGGTGAAAATATTGAAATTGGCTCGTTATGAGGTAGAGTGGTGGAGTTTGATTCATTAATCACTCACCTTTGAAACTGTTGATAATTTATCTGTCGGTGCATTTATTATCTGTTTAGAAATAACTGCTTTGGGCTATCGGTGGAGGATAGTCTTAATTGTTGTAGACACTGCAAGATGATTAGGTGAATTAAAACTAATCAATTTGAGTATGTTATTGAGTATGACGGTTGGAACAATACAGCGAATATGTGTATTGATAGGTCATTGTATATGATGTGTATTTGAATACATGGGTACCGAATCCCGCAGATGAAATTTCCATAAAATGGCAATTTGAAAATAATTATACGTGGGTGCCGAATCCCGCGGATGAAATTTTCGTAATATGGCAATTCGAAAATAACTATACATGGGTGCCGCATCCCGCGGATGAAATTTTCGTAAAATGGCCACAAGAACATAATTATACATGGGCGCCGAATCCCGCGGACGCAATTTTCGTAAAATGGCAGTTTGAAATATGGATGGCTTGAATTGTAGTCTCATTTAAGTTGTTTGGCCAGCATCTGAGCCGTGTTTATAAGTTGAGAATTGGATAACTAAAAGATTATGGAACTGGATTGTACTGTATGTTGGTTTATATGGGTTAAACATTTATCAAGTGCTAATGTTCTAGTTATTGCTCATATTATGTTTAACATATCTCCACTGGGCGTTGGCTCACCCCATTTGGGACATCATTTTTAGGTGCAGGTCACATGCCACCTCCAAGGACGTAGCTTGGTAGGCTTAGTGGCTGAGAGACCTTTTTGAATACTTTTTGTATTACATGTATATCAAGCTAAGGGCTTATTTTGTGTAGAGTTAGTACTCTCTTTTTGTAACCAAGTGTTGACTTGGAAAGTTGTAAGCCCGTAGGGCATTTACTTTTGTTGTCAACATGTAATACATTCTGTAAGAATACTCTGATTTATGAAATGTGATATCTCTTTCTTGTATCATGGATGTCTGTTTTTGGGTTTATTTTGAGGGCGTTACAACTTGGTATCAGAGCGTACCGGGTTTGAATACTTTAGGTACGTGGGAAGTGATAAGTATCATAATGGGTTTGTCTCCCTTGTTAGAGACTTAGATGTAGTGTTATGTGCTTATGTGAGAACATATTTATGTGGCTATATGGGTATGAGATTTAGTTTCTAGGATGTTGATTGGATCCTTGGGTTTCTGTTAGTCTTGTTGTAAAAGCACTTGATCAATGCTGTTTTTTTTTTTTTTTGGTTCTAGTTCTAAACTTCTAATCTTTTAGAGTCTAATCTATTATTATTATTTTGTTTTGTACCAGTTCTAAAACTAGAGACATGGTTAGATTGATTGACACAGTGTTAACTGTTAAGGGTTCTACAAAGAAAGGAATACAGACAGAAAACCATAGAGAGGTTTGGTTTATTATCTGTTTTGTTATTATCAGATTGATTGAACAATCTGTTCTAAACCAGATTGATTCCAGTTCTAAACCAGATTGATTGAACAATCTGTTTTGTTATTATCAGCCTTTTATTTTATTCTTACTTCAATTATCTCTTAAAATACTAACATAAATATAACAAATTTTATTATATAAATCAATAATTATCAAGATGAGATATAATATGGATTTGACTTAGGCCTGGTAAATAATTTTTTGATCTTGACAATATTAAAAGGGAGGAATAGGTTTAAAGTGAAGTTTTTATGTCAGAAAAATATCTCTAATACTTGAGTTAACTTTAATTGAGACTGTGGAAGTATGAGCAAAACATTTTAAGGTTAAACATTCTTTCAAACAATGAGACATAATTTACTGGCTTAAACAAGAAGAGTAATGAATTGTTTGAGATTACTTAGAAAAATTAACGAGATTTAAAAACATGTTCAAGTTTAGTGTATTTATCTTTCTAGTCAATCCCAAACAAGTTTCAATCAAGATGATTACTAACCGAGCTCTAACAACTAATTTTTATACAATTCTATAATTCATATAAACTTATCGATCCAAAATCAAAAGAAGAAAAAAGTTTAAAATATGTCCCAACTTAACTTGTTTTCAATTTTAAATAAGTGTTTAACAAGTGGAACATAAATGTAAGCTTGAGTAACTTGGTCTGTTTTACTACCCAAACAACTGGTTTACATTTTTTTGGGTGGGTAACTAGTTTACATTAACTTTCATGTAAGTATGGATGTTTTGGGGGGAAAAAAACACATCAATGGTTAGGGAGAAAATATTTGTTTTGGGATGAGAGAGAGAGAGAGAGAGAGAGAGAGAGAGAGAGAGAGAGAGAGAGATTTGACTTTAATACTATTGGATTAATTAATGAAGGTTAGCTCTCTATATGATGATAAAGAAATGATTAGAGGGTGGTCAGCAAACACATTCACAATTTGAACATATGTAATACTAAGCATTTTTAATTTTTTTTAGGAACATTTGTTAGAGCCTCTGTGTCACCCAAAACATGATCAAGAAAAGAAAACAAAAGTATATTGTTTTCTTGCTTTCTTGCTTTGTAAAAAAAAAGACACAAAAGCATCTTGGTCAAACCTTATTCAAAATTCTGTTTGTGTCACCAAAATTGTTCTCTCTTCTCAAGTGTCTTCAACTGAAATGTGAGAAGAGCCATTATTGACTAAACCTTTTTTTTTTCTTCCTAATCACATCATTAGTTTAGTCATATTCTCAACCTTTCTTTGTCATATAATTTTAGTCTTACTTACCACAAATAAACATGATTATCACTTGGGCTCCACACTAATCATTTATTTGCAAGACAAAGCTTATATATCATATTTAATTAGAACTATATGTCTGCAAGTTCATGTGTGGTTTTCAACATTAAATTAAGATTTTTAAAATTAATTGTATGATCAAAACTGCACATTCTATATCTCTTTGCTTTAGAGCACCATTTGTGATGAGTACAATTATTCTATGAAATTATTTATATAAAACAGACTAACTTTTCAATATTTTCCATCACAACATGGCCTAACTAGTTCCTGCATATAGAAATTTAGCTCAATTATATATCAGAATGCTCCTTTCCATAGTAGATTGACAACATGTTTGAATGATAACAACCTGGAAAAAATATTTAACAATATGATTAAATCAAGAAAATTTAGCTCAATTATATATCAGAGTGCTCCTTTCCAATTAGTGAACATGACATATTGCCAATTACAGGTTACTGAAAATTACAAAGATTTGGCACTCTCAGATTATGCACGAGTAATTACTGAACATTTAAACTAATCTCATTTGTCAGTGAACTAATCTTACTTAGTGAACATTAGTTAGTTTAAACTTACTGATTCATCTTACTTAGTTTAAAATCTCATTAGTCAGTGAACATTAGTCAGTGCACTAATATCCTTCTTAGTTTAAACTAATCTCTTAGTTTTTCAAAAAGAGCATAGATTTGAAAAGCATATTTTGAATGATTTTTTTATTAGTTGTTGGCAGTTTATTTGATAATCTTTTGGCCATGGATCCTCCAAGTGAAGAAACTTTTTTTGTGAGTCCTAATGTTGAGCCCGAATCATCTTCTATTGACCCCTCTACCAATCTAATGCTCCTCCTCGTAGACCACCCTTGGCCAAAACTAGTAGTAATGGGAGAACAACATCAAAGGCTTGGGATCATTTTGAAAAGATTAAGGGCATTGATGGGAAAGATAGGGCTATGTGCAAGTATTGTAAGAAAGAATATATGGCAGGCTCTAAGAGTCATGGAACAATAAATTTGTTAAGTCATTTGAAAAATTGTACAAAGTGTCCATATAGGGATACTCATGGGCAACAATCATTGGGATTTAAACCTAGAGAAGTTGGTGGGGAGGATGTTGTTGATGTTGTGGCTACATCATTTTCTGTAGAAGTTGCTAGAAGGTATCTTGCGGAGATGATAGTAATAGATGAATTGCCCTTTAGATTTGTGGACGGGGTTGGTTTTAAGAGGTTTTGTAATGTCATGCAACCCAAGTTCAAGATTCCATCTCGATATACCGTTGCTAGGGACATTCTAGACATATACACCAATGAAAGGGAGAGGTTGAAAAAAATTGTGAAGGGGCGTAGAATTTGTTGTACCACGGACACATGGACTTCCATACAAAATATGTGTTATATGTGTCTAACTGCACATTTCATTGATGATGATTGGAAGTTACAAAAGAGGATCATAAATTTTTGTCAAGTTGAAGACCACAAAGGAGAAACTCTTGGTAAAAAAATTGAGGCACTTTTAAAGGAGTGGGAAATTGATGGCCTTTTTACCTTAACTGCGGATAATACGAGTTCCAATAATCTAACCATTAGATTCTTGAAAGGAACAACAAAATTGTGGAAGGGAACTATCTTGGGCCATGAATTTTTACATATGCGTTGTTGTGCGCATATTCTAAATCTTATTGTTAGTGATGGATTGAAGGATCTTGAGTCTTGTATAGCAAATGTGAGGCATGCAGTGAGGTGTGTGAGGTCTTCTCCAAACCGCCTTGACACTTTTAAAAAGTATGTGGAAAGTTTGAAAATTGAGAGTAAGAGCCTCTTGTGCCTGGATGTGCCAACACGGTGGAATTCAACATATCTTATGTTGGAGGCAGCAGAAAAATTTGAGAGTGCTTTTCAAAGAATGGGTGAGGAGGACTACAATTAGAAGCACTACTTTTTGGATAATGAAGGGGGTGAGAGGAGAGAGATGCCTATAGCCGAGGATTGGGATAATTGTAGGGTGTTTTTGAAATTTCTTAGAAGGTTCTACAATGCCACAAAGAGATTTTCTGGGTCTTTATTTGTTACTTCAAACACATTCTACACTTAAATTTTTGTCATTGAAAATACGATTGGACAATTAATCAAAGACAATGATCCTATTTTGTCTTCAATGGCAAAGAAAATGAAAGAGAAGTTTGACAAGTATTGGGAAAATGGGGATAAAATCAATCTACTTTTGTATGTTGCGGTTGTGCTTGATCCTAGAAGAAAAATGACATACTTGCAATTTTGTTTTTCAACAATTTTTGGTGGAGATATGGTGAAAGTGAAAGAAATGTTAGACAAGGTTAAAAATTGTTTGGGCAAATTGTATGATCATTATGCCACACTTGAGCCAACAAATGTGCATGCCTCCAATGTAAATGAAAGAGTAGATATGGTGATAGATGAAAATGACCCACACTCTATTGTGAACTCTCAATTTAACTCATTTTTGGAGGGGTAATTTTGTAGTAGTGGGAGTATGTCGGAATTGGACAAGTACTTGGGTGATATTGAGAAAAGTGGGAATAATTCTCAATTTGATATCTTAGAGTGGTTGAAGGTTAATGCAACAAAGTATAAAGTATTATCACTTATAGCACGAGATGTGTTGGCGATGCCTATTTCCATTGTTGCTTCTGAGTCGGCTTTTAGTACAGGAGGTCGTATACTTGATCCATTTCGTAGTTCACTTGCTCCCAAGATGGTGGAGGTTCTTGTTTGTGCACAAAATTGGCTTCGAAGTAACATTCCAATATGCCTTAGACAAGCAATGAATGATATTGAAGAATTTGAACAACAATATGATTCGGGTAATACATTCAATGATTTATTTTGTATTATTCAAAATTCATTATTTTCACTTTACATGTTTTTCTTGTGTTATGTTTTATGTGTAGTTGTTTCAGAATCAAGTTCTTGTTCAAGCCCAAGTCCGGAACCTAATTTTATTGAAGTTTAATATCATGGTAAAATACCACTCCCCTTTGCTAAATGTTGTTAACATATGTTTATTTGTTTTAAGTTTAAGACTTTTTAGTGTTTTCCTTATTAAATAATTTCATTTTTTTTGTTATGCAGGTTTAGATGGTTCATTTCATGGTTTGGCTCAAGGAAATTAACGACTTTTTGCTTCTTTTTGGATGACTGTATTATTGTTTGGATGACTGTATTATTTTTTTTTTTAAACTTTGGATGATTTTCAACTTCAATTTTGGATGACTGTAATGAATTATGTTTTTGCATTACCCACTAGAACATTGAACTTTGGATGCCCAGGAGAAGATAATGGAAATTGATAACATGTCATGTCTTATGAGGTTTGTTAAGTTGATGCTTTTTTGGAATTGTTGAAGTTTTCTTTGTGCTTATGGTTTTATTTTTGTGAGCAAGGGATTTTTGTTTTACTCATGTTCTGTTATTGACATCTCTTGTGAATAGATAAATAATTTTTTTTCCCCTTCTTTTTCTGGTGCATTTGAGAATAATTTTCTTAGATAATATATGCACTTTGGCCAGAGATTGGTTTTTGGCATTTGGTTTGGGCAGTCTTGAATTTCCAACAGAATCACATTTATTTGGAGAAGAAAAAGAAGCAACATTAGATATTGTAGGTGGGAGAGAATTGGAGAGCACTTGTGTTAATTGTTATATGTTATACTGGCAAGATGACATATAAAATAAAATAAATGTGGAGTTCAATAATATTACCCTCTGCTTATTATTTAGTGAATGGTATTGGATATCTTCTTCTTTTTCAAGATTCAATTTACAGTTTTAGACCTATCAAATTTATATATGTTTGTGTAATGTTTTCTGGTCTCACATCACATGTGAAGAAGATGAATGGCAGATTTGCTGCATATTGTTTTTGGCTCAAAGAAAACAGTCCTTTGGAAATTGATTTGTGTGTGGATTGCTAAAAGGTTTTGAGGTTCTTTGTTTTAAGGAAAATGATGTTCAAATTTAAACCAAATCAATTTGAATAGTGAAAAAGATAATGTGTCACTTTAACATTACAGAGTCTTATAGGCCCATACAATTCACCTTTTTTTATGAGAGTTTTAGTAATAGTCTATAAATAATTAATTAAGGCCCATAGAAATTTTGTCAAAAAATAAAATTTTGTTAAAAGAACACTGCCACTCAAACTCAAAGCACAGCGCAGCGTATCTATCTACCACTGAATATGATATTGAATATTCAATATACACACAAAACAACAAAGTGGGGTATATCAGTGATGTTTGTTAATTGAATTTTTTCCTGGGTTTTTTTTTTTTGTATGTTGAAAATTTGTAAAATTTCAAACCGCCAAACCAATTCGCATCCATCGGCTAATCCGCCAAATCCGCATCCGCCGGATTGGCAGACGAATGCGGATTGATTTTCACCAATCTGCCAAATTGGCGGACGGATGGCGGATTGGAGGTTTCGTGGCCGCAACCGATCCGCGCCCACCCCTAGAACTGGATTGTACCGTATGTTGGTTTTTATTAGTTAAATGTTTATCAAGTGCTAATGTTTTAGTTATTGTTCATATTATGTTTAGCATATCTCTACTGGGCATTGGCTCACCCTATATGGGACATCATTTTCAGGTACAGGTGTTATGCCACCTCCAAGGACGTAGCTTGGGAGGCTTGAGGCTGTCAGACTCCTTTTTGTTGTTTTTGTTGTATTACATGTATATCAAGCCAAGGGCTTATTTTGTGCAGAGTTAGTACTCTCGTTTTTGTAACCAAGTGTTGACTTGGAAAGTTGTAAGCCTATAGGGCATTTACTTTTGTTGTCAACATGTAATACCTTTTGTAAGAATACTCTGATGATTGTAATATGAAATCTCTTCAATTTATCGTGAATATATGTTATGATGGGTTTATTTTTGAGGGCGTTACAACTTGGTATCAGAGCGTACCGGGTTCGAATACTTTGGGTACGCGGGAAGTGACTAGTATCGCAATGGGTTCGTCTCGCTTGTTAGAGACTTATGTATGACATTATGTGTTTATTTGACAACATGTTTATGTGACTATTTGGGTATGGGATTTAGTTTCTAGGATGTTGATTGGATCCTTGGGTTTCTGTGAGTCTTGTTGGAAAAGTATTTGATCAATGCTGTTTCTAACCGGAACTCTAGTAACGCCTCGGGACTATCATTATCCAGAAATGAAATTCGTAGGTGCTTGTGTGATTATGTGCTTATGTGGAATGAATTACAGTTGCCCATTGCATTAGAACGCGAGTGTTATAGCTTCGGCACATTTGTGAATTTGCTAATGTTCTTCGTTACCTTTATTAGGATGTCAGGACGAGGACTTGGTGGTAGGCGAGGTAGGTCTAGGAGGCAGGAGATGCCTATATCGGATGAGATTCCGGCGCAGCAGGAGGGTGTTGGTCAGGCCAATGTGGCCGAGCCAGTGGCGCAGCAGGCCATGGGCACCTTAGCCCGCGAGATAGCAGGAGCTATGAGGGAATCCTTGGGCATTCTTAGAGCTGAGAATTCAATTCAGGCCCAGGTTGTTGATGCAGGACCTTCCTTTCTGAAGAGGGAGTTCTTCTGGTCTAATCTGGATGAGTTTGTTGGGGATCCGAAAGAGCCACTTAAGGCTGATGAATGGTTGGAACAGATGACTAAAATGTTTGAGATGATTGGCATCGAAGACGGGGCATTGAAGGTGACCTTGGCATCTTTCCAGCTTAAGGAGGATGCGGATCGGTGGTGAAAGTTCATGAGGGGTCGTATTGGTGGCACATGGGAGGCCTTTGTAGATGCTTTCCAGGAGAAGTTCTTAGCCCCAGCTGTCAGGGAGAAGCTGAGGGACCAGTTTTGTCAGCTCAAGCAGTTGAGTTTATCAGTGGCCGAGTTTGAGGCTACATTTACTAGTTTATCCAGGTTCGCACCTGAGCTTGTGGCGTCTGAGGAACGCCGTTGTATCGAGTTCGAGAGGAAGTTGAGGCATGGCCTCAAGATAAGAGTTGGGCGTTCTATGATCCGGGAGTATGGGCGTCTTGTGGATGCCACGACCCATATGGAGACTATGATGTAAGAGGAGGATGAGAGACAGAGGGGCTCCAAGAGGAGTCAGGATGGTCAGGGGGACGGTAGGAGCAGAGGGGTTGTAACCCTCAGCAGTTCCAGAGTGCTTTAGCGAGATCTACCTTTCCAGTGCCAAGTTCAGGTTCTGGGAGAGGCAGCCAGGGAGACTTTACCTGTTTCAAATGTGGTCAGCTGGGCCATAGTCTCCAGCTTGCCCGCAGAGGGGAAGAGGTCAATGAGCAGCTTCATCTTCAGCTCAACCACAGAGCCAGAGTCAGGGCAGAGGTCGGTCGTCCTCTTGTTACCAGTGTGGTCAGGCGGGGCACCTGAAGAGGTTCTGCCCACAGTTGGGTGGTACACCCGGTGCGTCTAGTTTGAGACAGACGTAGAGTTCGCAACCAGCACAGTCTGTTCAGGCCTCGAGGGCTAATCCGGAAGCTTCATCGTCTCAGTCTGTGCACCAATCTTTTGCTCTGAGAGGTGAGCAGGTAGATCACGGGCCTACAAGGCGTGTGTATGCTGTTACCACGCAAGATCTAGTACCGGCTCCATCTGTTGTGAGAGGTACCTTTTTGTTTTGCAACTTGGTTGCCAATGTATTGATTGATACGGGTGTATCTCATTCCTTTATATCTGCTGCATTTGCATCTGTTTTGGGGTTGGAGTTGGCACAGTTAGCATCTCCTATATGTGTTGTATCGCCTGTTGGGAGCGAATTGATTTTGAAACAAGGATGTAGATGTTGTGACATAGAGGTCGCCGACTGCCGACTTCTATTTTCATTTGTAGTTATGGCTATGTCAGGTTTTGATGTGATTTTGGGTATGGACTGGTTATCGTCATACCGGGCAGTTATTGATTGTTACCGCCAGAGGGTCACTGTATGTACCGTGAGCGGGGATTGTTTCCATTTCTTGAGGGATCGGGTTGGTAGTGTGTTGCCACCGGTGTATAATCCGCAAGGACGGAGTGAGCTTAGTGGTCTTCTCGCTAGCCTTATGAGTAGTGAGTGTGATGAGACCGAGGTTGTGTTGCCGAGAGTGGTTTGCGAGTATTCGGATGTTTTTTCCGAGGACCTTGTTAGTTTACCACCTCATCGAGAGATTGAGTTCTCCATTGACTTAGTGCCTGGTACGACACCGATTTCCATGGCACCTTATCGTTTTGCCCCAGCCGAGTTGAGTGAGTTGAAGGTTCAACTCCAGGAGTTGCTAGATAAGGGTTTTGTTCACCCTAGTGTTTCACCGTGGGGAGCACTGGCCCTCTTTGCTAAAAAGAAAGATGGTGCCTTGAGACTTTGTATCGATTACCAGAAATTAAATTGGGCTACGGTTAAGAATAAGTACCCTATGCCTCATATTGATGATTTGTTTGACCAGTTGAAGGGGTCCCGTTGTTTCTCTAAGATAGATCTGAGATCGAGTTACCACCAGTTAAGGGTCAGGGAGGAGGATATTCCGAAGACGGCATTCCGTACGCGGTACGGCCACTATGAGTTTCTGGTGATGCCATTTGGGCTTACCAATGCACCGGCAGTGTTTATGGACTTGATGAACCGGATATTCCGGGAATTCTTAGATCGTTTTGTAGTCGTCTTTGTGGACGACATCCTGATTTATTCGCCTTCGGAGGAGGAGCACGAGGAACACTTGAGAGTGGTGCTCGAGTTGCTTAGAGCCCATAGGCTATATGACAAGTTTGGGAAGTGTGAGTTCTGGCTAGGAGAGGTCAAATTCTTAGGCCATGTGGTTTCCGGGGAAGGGGTGTCTGTTGATACTTCCAAGATTGAGGTAGTGCAAGATTGGGCACAGCCTAAGAGTGTTTTTAAGATCCGCAGTTTTCTGGGATTAGCTGGGTATTACCACCAATTTGAGAAAGATTTCTCCAGGCTAGCTTTGCCATTGACTAGATTAACGCGAAAATGGGTCAAATTTGTGTGGAGTGAGACTTGTGAAAAGTCGTTCCAAGAATTGAAGGTTAGACTTACCACCGCTCCAGTGTTGATTATTCCGGAGAGAGGTTTGGGTTATGCGGTTTATTGTGATGCCTCACGAGAGGGTCTGGGTTGTGTGTTGATGCAAGAGGGGAAAGTGGTAGCCTATGGCTCACGTCAGTTGAAAATACACGAGAGGAACTACACTACACATGACCTTGAGTTAGCAGCCGTGATTTTTGCCTTGAAGATTTGGAGGCACTACCTGTATGGTGAGAGATTCGAGGTGTTCTCGGGTCATAAGAGTTTGAAGTATCTGTTTACACAGAGAGTTGAATTTGAGGCAGAGAAGATGGATGAAGTTTATTGAGGATTACGATTTTGAGTTGCACTATCATCCGGGAAAGGCCAATGTGGTGGCTGATGCCCTTAATAGGAAATCTATTAGTGATGTAGCTTGTATAGCCATCCGGGAG